TAGTGCGCCCGACTCACGATCGGAAGACCGTGGGTTCGATTCCTGCCTCGACCAGATATTTTTCTCGAGAGAATTTATCTGGTTGAAGCTGGGATGATTCTGCAACCGTGTTAGGAATCACACGTTAAAAGGTAAGACCTCGTTAGTCCTTCGTGTTTCCTGATTGGAAACACGAAGATCACTTGCAACGTTGATAGTCTGGAACATCGAGAAAGGTTGGAGATTTTCAAGGGACTTGGCACATTTGATTCCACCAAGAGCGGTACATATCACAAAAACTCGACGGGCTGTGGCTGCTCATCGTTTTTAGGTTCAACTCAGTCCACCTCAAATTTCACTGTTGGAGAACTATTTTATTTGGAAAACTGCGGTCATGTGGAACAAACTTCCTGAAAACGGTTTTCCAAGTGACTTCAGTTTCCAGCGATTCAAATCCAACGTGAATCGCTACTTTCGCACAGGAACCGCTCATAGAGCGCCTTAAGGTTTTTCCTGTAGTGTTTTTGTTTTGTGTTTAAAAAAAACGAGATAATAACTCAACCAATAATAATAATCTAGTAGAAACCTGATGGAGGTGAATCATTACCTACCCACCTGCAGGATGAGAAAAGCGACAATTTGTTGAGGAACAATATGATTTATACTCACAACTGGTTTCGGAATAGGTTCAACGGGCATCGGAACTGGTTCGACAGGTATCGGAACAGGTTCAACGGGTTTCGAAACTGGTTCGACAGGTATCGGAATAGGTTCAACGGGTTTGGAAACTGGTTCGACAGGTATCGGAACAGGTTCAACGGGTTTCGAAACTGGTTTGACAGGTGTCGGAACAGGTTCAACGGGTTTCGAAACTGGTTTGGCCGGTATCGGAACAGGTTCAACGGGTTTAGAAACTGGTTCTACAGGTATTGGAACAGGTTCAGCGGGTTTTGAAACTGGTTCGACCGGTACCGGAACAGGTTTAACGGGTTTTGAAACTGGTTCTACAGGTATCGGAACAGGTTCAACGGGTTTCGAAACTAGTTCGACAGGTATCGCAATAGATTCGGCTGATATCTCAACAGATTCAACAGGTACAATTTCCATGTTGCTTGGTTGGCAACCCGCTCTACGAATCAATTGCAATCCAACAAGAATCGTCTCATCAGCTGTGGGCCCAAAAATATGACCATAAATATCCATTCCTGGACCACACGGACCATTTTGAAGGACTTCCCTTCCTGCCTCGCTATTAGAAACACTTGCTGGAAAAAATCAGATCTACCTCGCGTTCGGTGTTACACAAAGTTCTGCTCGAAGGGAATGGGACCTAACTTTCATGCAGGGGATTTTGAGCTAGAACCCACGCTGTACCTCTACTTTTATACTTGAGCTCCGGCTCAATGAATATATTTTTCAAATTTCTAACGCAAGTGACTTGAGTTTGTAGACCTAAGTCCTTGAAGACGAAAGGAAAATACGAGTAAGTTTATTTAGCGATGTCTAATGCTCATTCAGAGATATGTTTACTCATTTATCCTTTTGAAACATTTTTAATTACCATTGGTTGACTATATAAGAGCAATACAAATTGCTTAATCAAATAACTTGGCTTAAACCACTCTAGAGCTGTGCCAACTATCTTTGACATTTATTTGGTAACTTTCATTGTGAAAGTATAACTTCTGATAATGCTAACTTGATTGACGAAACGTATGTATCCCTAGGAATTGCGTGTAGGCATAGATGAAATATTCATTATTATTGCAATGGTATTGATTTTGTTTGGAATACTTACTTAATATTGTGGGTGTGTTTTCTGGATGAGAACCTTTTTTTGGTTTTGTGTTATGATTGGCTGCTGAAACTTGTTGTTCTGAAATAATCATATTATTATTATCAGAGGCATACATAATAAAATGCGAATATATTGCCTGTTGTCGGGTGACTTGTTTTCAAAAAACCCTCAAAGTGGTGGTATAATTTGGTTTTTATATTTTTTATTTGTTTTTCTTCTTGTTTATTTATTTTTTGAAAGTTATTTTTGATACTTCCATTCAGAAATTTCTAGGCATTTGGTCGTTCCGACAAAGAGTTACCTCAAAAACCCCTTCCCACACCTCAGGTAAGGATAATTTACTTATAGTCAGTGGCGGACATAATGGAGGGACACCAAGGGCACCTGCCCCCCCCCCCCAGAGGATTGAACGTACACTAGATATAATTTGGTGAAATAAAGTTTATGATCGGGAAAGAAAAATCAGGTCGATTTAGATTGATAAAACCTAATATATAAATAAAGCTCAACTTTAGGTCACACAATTTTAGAAGAGCTAGATAAACTTAGCCTTGGCTAACTGCCGAAAACAAGCTTTTGATGGATCCTCCAAAATGAATGGAATATTTAAGTGTGGGCAAGCCCGCATTACCCAGATCCAGCCTCTTGCAATCTACAGCCACAGTGCTTATCATAGGCTAAACTTGGCTTTAAGGAAAGCTTGTTCTGTTGGTAGCATCAGATATGCCATGGGAGTTGAATCTTTGGAAGAAGCTTTGGAAGAAGAGAGGAAAATGATGACCCCAAGCCAGGAAAACATGGTTTGAAAAATCTGTGTGAAACAAGATGGATAGAAAGGCACCAAGTCCTGTTGACGTTAATGAAAAACCTTCCTGCACTCCCCACTGTCTTCGAAACCATTGCTAGTTCACCGAAAGGTAGACGAAGTAATGCATTTGCTTTCCCATACTCTATTCTGTCGTCAGAGCAGCAAACTGGAACTATGAGCCATAATTACAGTTTTTGCTGCTATTTCTATTGTTTTGGTTGGTTTGGGTGTTGCAGCGGTCTTCTTTGGTTATAATCTACAAACGTTTCGACTGTAACTGCGGCAGTCATCTTCAGTGACATGGCCGAAGTATTCTTCTTTACGTTCCATTTGACAAATCGAAAAAAATACTTCGACCACACCACTGAAGATGACTGTCGCAGTTGCAGTCGAAACGTGTGGAGATTATAACCAAAGACCACGGCAAAACCCGGAAACCAACCAAAACATTAACGCCAGCCGTGAAGGCCTATATTCCAATGCTATTTCTACTATTATAGAGTAGTCTAGGTGAAGTCTGATGTAGAATTCGATGAGTGAATTTAAATGTGACAATACTCTTTCCTCCCCTTTTCATTTGGTTTGTTTATATGGATGAATCCATTTCCTACGCAACACATGAAAAACCTCACCATGTTTGCTGAGATTTTTTATGTGTCCGCAAACGTCATCATAACCATATCATTCATCAGCCAGGCTAAATACCATTCCTTTTAGTTTGTGTGCGCTTATATATACTATATCAACCGTTCAGAGGGTTACTTGTCAAATAAATACAGCGGATACAACAAATGAATATGAAAAAATGAAAAACTAACGAGCAGCGATGAAAATGGTTCAACAGAAATAATTATGTTGCACATCAGTTATTAGATGGGCTGAAAAGTTCGTAGGCTAACTGACAGATGACGCTACTAGTATTGATTTTTAGTTAACCATAACCTCCAAAAGATACGTGTACAAATTTCACAGATGTTGGAATGTTAGTTTGTGTATGGCTCTCCAGCTGCCTCAAAGAACGTTCCCTGTAAGTGGCCGTCGATGAATATCTTTCGAATACTTTTACTATCCACGCTGGTGTTCGCCAGGGTTCCATATTGTCTCCAACCCTGTTTTTATTGCATATTGCTTTGCTGACGACAGCACACTTGCCTCTTACCACTTGTGGATGCAAATCTTCACCGGCAGCAGGATGTTGCATATCTTGATAAGGATCTAGAAGTGATTTCGAATCGCGATGAAAGTAGCCAGGTAATTCAATGCCACAAAAACCCAGGCATCGGTTTTCTCCAAAAAGATAATTGTCCCTGAGCCGGATATAATAATGTCGGCTTCGATAAGCTTGATGTCTCGGCACAATCATGTCGCTGGAATTTCAAAGGTTGCTTCCCAAAAGCTTGGAACATTGTTCCGAACAAGAAAACTGTACAAACCTCAACAACTTCTAATGCTTTCTAAAGCTCAGATCAGACCTTTTTTGAAGTATTGTTCTCATGCATGGTGCTCCTCCCCTAAACTTAACCAGAAGCTGCTCGATTCAATCCAGAAAAGAGCCATCCGCCTGATTGGAGACGCAAACATCACTTGCAACCTTGATAGTCTGGAACATCGAAGAAAGGTTGAAGATTTGTCTCTCTTTCATAGATACTTTCACGGGGGGTGTTCAAGTGAGCTGTCACATTCGATTCCATCCAGAGCGGTACATATCGGAAATACGCGACGGACTGTGGCTGCTCATTGTTTTGAGGTTCAACTCAGTACACCTTGAACTTCACTGTTTAAGAACTCTCTCCCATTGGGAGAACTGCGCTTATGTGGAATGAACATCCTGAGAACGTTTTTCCAAATGGATATAATCTCCAGCGATTGAAGGACGAAATCGCAGAAAAACGGACCCAGTTGAATAAAAAAGTGCTGTTTTATCAAGACAATGCATCGTGTCACGAATCAATCGGAAAGATGACAAGATTGCATGAATTGGGCTTCGAACTGATCCCGCATCCACCGTATTCTCCAGATCCGACCCCCAGCGACTTTTCCTGTTCTCGGATCTCAAGAGAATACTTGCTGCAAAGAAATGTAGCGCCGATGAAGAGCTAATTGTCGAAACTGAGACCTATTTTGAAGCTATAGACAACCCGTGCTATAAAAATGGTGTATTGTATATGACCGCTATAATCGTTATATGGCTCTCCATGACAAATATATTGAATAATAAAATCCAATTTCATCAGCAATTTTTTTCCATGTCGGCGTACGAATTTTTCTGCCCAAATGTTGCATAGAAATCAAGTTTCCTTTCTCAATTTGTACTCGTATACTAAACATTCATAAATTTGAATGAAATTATTATCACTCACAATGTAATAAATGAAAGAACACTGATACGAAAATGCTACTGAGATTATTTAATTTCAGTTTTGAAATGGACAATTCTGGGTAAAAACAATTGTTTTCGATTCCTCATCAATAGTATTCATTTAAGGGAGTTTGAAATAATTAAATTGATGGATATAGCCGTTATACATTAAACTAACAATGGTTTATTACATTAGCCCTTAAATATAGCACCCCTGTAGGTAAAAAGAGAGGTACTTGGCTTGATTGAGTACCTGAATTTACAATTTATAATGCGGATGTGCTAATTTGAAAACCGGTGAGTAAAATAAATCGATTTGATCAATTAACAGGTTGCACATTACCATCCCATTACCATCTCAAGCGATTCTTTCCATCCAGACACCCATAAATTACCAGCCTACAATTCAATGTTGCACAGATCATTCTCACTGCCTTTGTCTGCAGACAATCTAGCTAGGGAAATTGATATAATTACACAGATAGGTCATAATAATGGTTTCACCGTAGTTTGAAAGCCGTGGATTTTTGGAATACAGGTACCAATACAACTGATTACCTGACAAGGCATAAATACGCTTTTCGAAGCCTAAAAGTTAGTCATCGGACAGAAAGCCATGATGGTTAAACCTCTGAAGAAGCTAGCCACTCGCGCCAGCGAAACGTCATGAAGAAATTCCAAGAATCCACGGCTTTCAAACTCGAAAAACAGTGACACTGAAAACCTCAGCCGCGAAAGTCTAAACAATTTTGTCGGTTTCAACGTAGATACTATCCAGAAGTTAATCAGAAAACAAAACCGTCAATTCACTTGCAGATTAATATATCCTCAGGTCAAACAACCAGAAATCAAGAAATTGATAACTAACATATTTTGGAAAAAGAACAGAGATAATTGCGGGTTTCTTCATCAAAAACAATGTGAAAGTGGCATTCATACCACATGCCAGGTTATCTGATTTCCTTTTCAATGCCAAAGATAAGGTGGACAAGTTGGAGAAATCTGGAGTTTATAAGCTTAAGTGTCGGGAGTGTAATAGTGTTTATGTAGGACAATGTGGTCGAAATTTCCAAAAACGGTATGCTGAACATGAAAGGTCCTGCAGACTAAGAAAAAATGATTCGACGTTTTCAAACCATTCCTTGGTATACGGAAATTTTGGAATATGCAAGGAAGAGTTACAAACTCAATCATTTAGAATCCTTAGAAATTCACAAGCATAAACATTGCGGGTGCAACCTGTTAAATGATCAAATCGATTTAGTTTACTCAACGGTTTTCAAATTAGCACATCCACA